ACATTTATGAATGAAGAAGATAATGGTAAATATTTATTATTAATTTACAATGAAATCAAAATTTCTTAATTAAATTATATAACTGACTTTTAATATTATTTAGATATAATATCAATGGTATGCTATAACAAAAATTTTATTGATATTTCGCTTTACAACCAATGGGATGCCAAAAAAATTAAGAGTAAAGGTCTATTGAAAAAGTTAGATAAAAATCATCCATTCTTTCGGGACCTATATAAAGTATATACTGATTATTTATATTCAAGTGTTGCAATAATGAACAAGAAAATAGAATTTTATAATTAAATTGCATACACCATTCTCAAAAGTAATTAAGAACCTATACGATTAAAACTACGAATTAGTGATATTGTTGAACTAAATGAAGAATCTGAAGGTATTGCATATGCAAGGATCAATTCAATTATTTGGCATCAAGCAAACAATGGTCACTATTATGCTTTTTTTTATTTGATTGGTTTCAGGTGACAGACTACATTGTTACTATATTAGAATGCTTACTTTACGATATCCAAAAGCCTAAAGAGTTGCATTGGTATTGAACCTTTCTAATTAATTTTATCGATCATATATCTTATATTCATTTTATACATAATTGTACAAATACATGCAGCAATATTGAGCATGATGAAACTAATCGAAATTATATTTTAAATGAATTTTATTACAAAGCAATATAGATGGATAAAATATTAAAAGATAGAAAATTTCAAATGTTTTGATTTAGGATTATTTATTAGATATTAGAAATCCAACTTTCATGTTATTGGAAAAAAAATTTCGATATATAATTTGTAAGATATATCCTATGTATTTCTTTTATATATATTTTTTAAAATTAATATATTTTGATCATATTTTCAACAGTTGACAAAAATATTACCTTTATATGTAAACTTATTTTAGACATAGAATAAAAATATTAAATTTACATTTGTTTTATATTATGAACATATTTTAGCTATATTTATCTATATATATTAAACATATTTTTAATGTATGATTATTATATTATTATTATATGAATTTGGTATATTTTTAACATATTTTTGGTATATGAAAAAAAATATAGTTATAATAAATTTAACATAAATACATTTGCCATATATCTGATATATGTTAAAAATATTTTTACTATATTTTTTTAAATTGATAAGTTTCAGTAAAGTGTATTTTAAATATAGAGTAATAGTATAGGATTGTTTTGCTAAAAATAAGCTTAGTTCTTTAATAATGTTAGATAGAAGAATAATAGGCATAATATATAAAAATATATAATAAATTCATTTATTATCTTTTATAGAAGGCATGTGTGAAAATATTAGCTTTACTTTTCCAGATAAAAATGCTTTTATACATAAAGTAAATATATTACTCACATAAAAAAAGAAAATTTAATATCTTTTCTTCTATGACCTGCTCAAAATTCTGATTTTAATTCAATAAAGCATTTATAAAACCATTTTGAAAAGAAAATACATGAGCATAATCTTTTACTAAAAAAATAAGAGAAAACTTATTGCAATTTTACAGGAAAAGTAGTTACAAATTGATAATGATATTCTGAAAAATTTGGTAAATATTATATCTTGAAGAGTTATTGCTATAATCGAAAGTAAAAGAAACTCTACAATGTATTAATTGCAGATTTATAAATTATAACCAGAAGATTCTTAAAATATAAATTTTATTAAATATTATAAATAAAGTTTTCAAAAAAATTTGATTTAAATTTTAGATAAAAATACTAATCTTCTGAAACTGCTAAACACTTTTAGTAGAAAGTGTATCAAAATTTTTGCAAAGTAGATTTAGTAACAAAATTTTAAATATTTTATAATTGTATTAATTTTAAAATACTTTAATATTTGTAAAAATAATTATTATAATAAAATATTATATATAAAAAAATAAAATATCACCTTATTAATTGATCGATTAAATATATATTTTTAGTGTAATTTTATATGCTTTAAATATTATTTATTGTAAAGTAACTATTTTTGATTATCAATTATTTAAAATTAATATATTAGTCTCATAACCTACTTTTAATAACTCAGTTCTTATATATTTTATAAATTAAAGTTTTTAAATATTAATATTAATTATTAGTATAAAATTTTAATCATTAGTATATAGATAAGTGTATTTATATTTTTGTATCTAATAATATTATAAAATGCAAATTAATTGCTTATAATTTTACATTATTTTATAAATTTATATTCTGCTCTATACTTAATTTATTAATAAATCTATATTAACTAACCTATATAACATATATTCCAATTAAATAAAAAAGTAAGTAAACTACTAGATTTTTGCTTAATCAATCTTTTCATTAATAAAGCTAACCTTTAAAAATTATAATGATTGAAATATTATATACAATATAATAATAATAATATAATAAAAAATAATATATAATATATTAATAAAATAAAAAAAAAATTTCCTAAATATTATTTAAAATATTTTTTTTAAAAAAATTAATTATTAATAGTTTATATTATACTAAATTTTAATTTATTCATATTTTTATTAGATACAATAACCAATTTTTTAAGTCAATAATTTTTAATTAATCATTTTTTAAAAAATAAGATCAATAACTTTGAAACCAAAAAAAATTTTTTTAGTTTGCTTCCTTTCTATCACAAAAGCCATCCATATAAAGTTGAAAAATATTTGTGATTAAATCGAAAAATATTTTATGTGATTATTTAGGAGGTGACTATATAGGGAACGACCGACTGGAAAATTTAAATATTATATATATCAATCATATGATCATATGATCAGCTCATTTAATTTATTTTACATATTTAAATATTAAAAAGTATTTCGCATAGTGTTCATAAATCTTTAGCGAGAGAGAGAGAAAACAATGAATATATATTTTAAATTGAGATAAATCTTCAATTTTAACCTTATAAATTTTTGCTAACCATAATTAAATATATCAACTAATTCAGGGAAATACAAGAGCCTACTTGTATAAAAAGCTTCGTGATGAACACTTTTCTGATAAAAATCATTACTTTCCAACTTTGAAAACTTTTTTTTTCAGCAAGATCAAATTGTTCAGAAATCTCAAAAGCAAGAGTTTCATTGCATAAAGCATCGATCCAATTTTCCAATATAGTACATAATTCAGATGCAATTGGACGTTTGGAAGGATTAGGATGCCAACACTGCGCCATTAATTGATTATAAACATTTGGATCTCCAATCAATAATTTCAGGTCGAAGACCAGAGCAAATATCGCTAGCTAATTTAAGGTCATGTGGTCTATTACACCATGAACAAATACCAGCAGAAAGCGTCCACATGATAATTCTAAAACTAAAAATGTCGGAAACCTTGGTTTTTGGATTCCCTCGTAAAACTTCAGGAGTCACATAAGGAAGAACTCCATATATTTTATTTGAATTTTTTTTATCAATAGAAAATGCAATCCCACATCACTGACAAACGAGTTAACTGAATCAGTATTTTCAACTAACAGATTGCCTCCGTGAATATTTCCATGAATTAATCCATTTTCATGAATTATTTGTATTCCTTTCGAAGCTCCCCAAAGGAAGTCTTTTATCTTTACAACAAGTCATTCCCTGTGCTTTATCAAGATATGAATGTAAATCTTTATTCTCATAATATTTCATGACAACATAAAATTTGAAGATTGATCTTTTGTTATTCCGAAAACGTCTGCAACATATACGTCTAATAGACAGTGACTATATTTATATAGCTAAATTTGAACAAAATGGTATTAGTAATTATTTGTTAATTCAATAAATCTATTTTAATTACAAAAAAAATAATTTTAAAGCAAATAAAATAATGAAAATATTCATCTTACTTGTTTCAAATATTCCTCGCTCATATTTTGTGAATAATGAAGTCTCTTAAGAACAACTTTTATAGGACCAGTACGTATCCATTGTTCGGCATCTTTATTCTAATATAGTTGCCTGATAAAACTCCTGGGTTTAGACAGACCGTTGAATGTCGAAAGTGTCAAAATCTTAATAAAACCATATAAATTAACCTGTCGAAACCCGTTGAAACCTGCCAAGCTATATCAAACTGTCGAAACTATATTATGGACTTATTAAAACTTGTCGAAACTAGAGGTTTAGACGTTTCGACAAATCTAAAATAGGTTTTGTCAGTCAACTATATATCCTAAGTCCAACGTGAACCTTCCATCCAAATTGCTGTAAAAATTGTGCTACACATATCATCTTTGTTTATATTTTCCACAAGGTCAAATTGTTCAAACTTAATATATTGCATTCAATTGAGTATATTTAATAAAATTATCTATATTAGTATTTTGTCCAATTTCTAAAATTTTCTTTAAAGGCATAAGTTTCACAAACTTTACACCATCTTGAATTAATTCGTTCATTTACACAATATAAGCATATTTTTAGGTTCAAACTTGAGATTGTCATATCCTTGTCTGATGAAAAAAGATACATAATTATCAAAATACTCGAATGTTTCAATTTTATAATATTTGCTTTTTGATTCGAATTGCAGTTTATAGTGCTTTTTTTTCAAAAACAATGTATGTCTTTTGACTGTATAAATTTTAAATCCAAATGATTGCACTTTAAATTTTTTTTTTAAATAAAAGAGAAAATACTTACAAGATAATTAATTGCCCGCAAGTTACAAATGGTACAAATGGGTTATTGGAAACAAGTAATATACAATTTTTTTTATTAAAAAAATAGTGAGGTAGCATATTTATTGAATTTTTACAATATGGTTTGTTAAAATTGAAATATTCTTTGTTTATTATTAACATGTATTTTCGTTAAGTGAATCTTAGGGGCTTAATATTTTGGACCAAAAATCCAAATAAATATTTCCTTCTATTCATTATTAAAAAAAGAACATTGTTTATGTATAAATATACATATATAAGAATTATAAATTTGAATTGAGTAATACATTATTTCTCGAATTTATTATAAAATATATGATTGATAAATGAAATGAATATATTGTTCGAGTAATTCAATAATTTTATTTATGATTACAAATCTTTGAAACAGCACAATATAAATAAATTTGTTTATTTAATCCCTGTTTGGGCACAGATTTACGGTTATACAAAAAAAAAAAAAATAACTCACGCCGATTAATTATTACACCTATTGTACATATTGTACAGTGGTTTCCCTTTTTTAATATGCGAAATATGTATTTGGTTTGAAGGACCGTACCTTATTAAACAGTCGTCATTTAAATATTGACACAGCTAGACTAGACTTTTTTAGATTATACCACATCGAAGCTTTATATTAATAACAATCTAAATTAAGCGGCGTAAAATATTATCATTATTTTAAATTCAAATTTTGCATACCAACTTATTATTACGAAAATAAAAATGAATGTCAAAAAGTATCAATACATTCGAAATTAGATGCATGTTTAAATAAATTTGCGCTATAAATATTTAGAAAAGAAAAATGCACAAATTATTGAAATTCCTTGATTCAAAATATTTACTGAATATTGATTGGTCATTTGAGAGGATCAGGATCGTTTAGTATTCATGATTGATTTAGTCAATCAGAAACTATGTATTACAAAATTCCTAGATAAAAGCGAATATTTCAACTCAATTGTTCCTTAAGTTGCATTTGCTGATGAAACAGGAACAGGGTTTAAATATACATGATAATTGTCACGAATCACGAGGATTGTAAATCATCACGTTATAAATAAATATTAAAAAATAATAAAGAAATTCTATTTTTGTGGGACCAGCCAACTTGACCAGTAAAAATTCTTTTCTTATAATAGAATAATTTATATAGCTAGAATGGCTTTGCAATGAACAAATAAATCTTTCAAGGAAATACCTACGTAAACATAAATCGAATATTACAAATACAAAAGTTATTATGATTTCGTCTATTAATAATATAGTTCAAAATAAATTTATTTTAAATGACTCAAAACTGCAGAAATGCGCCATGAATTAAAAATATTATGTTTTGTACAATAAAGTTTTTCAGAAAATCAATGTCGGAAAAATGGTCCGAAGCCTTAATCAAAGCATTGCAAATGAACCAAATGAACCAATGAAATGTATTTAACGTACATAAGATTTTTTTTCACTTTTTCACGTTTATTTGTAATTAGCCCAAGAAAGAAAGTACATTCCTCTTAAGGGAGTTTATAAAAAAGATAACGATTAAAAGTTTCTAACAATTAAGAAGTCACAAGATCACAACAATAAAATATTTCTACATATAATAAATTAAAGTACAAATTGATCTATATTCTAACAAGAAAATATTATAATCTCAATAACAAAAGCGTCGAGTCATCTGAACAGCTATTAAAGGATTTGGTACTACTTCTTTATATTATTTTCTAATGACTCCGGATGTCCATTTTTAAGAAATTTGACATTATGAAGAATGATCGGTTTGAATACACAAAATAACATTGTATTAGAGGCCATATAAGGAAAAACTCCATATATTTTATTTGAATTTGTTTTATCAATAGGAAAATGCAATCCCACGTGCTTCTACTAAATCTGGTGTATTTTCTAATCCTAATATGGAAACAATAGCACTAAAATATTTTGGACCGTTTGAAGAAACAGAAATTTTATCAACTTTTTACCTATGAATTTCTTTACATTCATATATTGATAAAGTAAAGGAATGTTTTGTTGGAAAGATATTGTTGAAATACTATGGGTATATCTGAATGCATATATGAAATTCATGAAAGAGGATTAATTCACGGAAATTTTCATGGAGGCAATCTTTTGACTCATAATTTTCAGACAAACTTAAAATCTGAATTGTTATCTCTAGCTATTCCGAATACTTCTGCCACATGTATATCTAGTAGACAGCGACGATATTGTTAAAGCTTGAATTTGTAATACATTGAAAAAAAGTTATTAATTCTGAAAATGAAATTTTAAACTGATGACTAACTTGTTTCAAATAATCACTCATACTTGACGATTCATTAAGTCTTTAAAGGGCAACTTTTATGGGACCATTACGCGTCCACTGTTCCGCTTCTTCCCAAATCCATCGAGGACCTTCCAACCAAAATGCTGAATAGATTATGCTAAATGCGCCACCTTTATCTGTATTTTCTACAAGAACAAGTTGATTAAAAATCAATATATTCGAGATAATCTAAGCTTTGTGTTGCGCTCATTTGCGTATATTTAATAAAATTGTCAATAACACTTGTCCAATTTCCAAAACTTTCCTTAAGAGCAATTACATCATATTCGTTACACCAGCCTACATAGTTTCGCACACTTCCACAACCTACACATTTTCCATAGTCAACAACAGAAATTTCCGAATCATTCTCTGTTCGATATAATCTAAAAAATGTTAAAAAAAATTCATTTTTTGCTATTTTCATCAGGATAAAAAAAAGAAGAAAGAAAGAAACTTACTGATTATTATCCGAATCAAAAGTATTTTTGTCCATGGCGTGCGATCTTTTGGACTTTTTATAAGTAAAATAAGTAAAATAAATCCAAAAATGGGACTTATTGTAGGAGAACACATATTTATATCTATATAATGGCAGTGCAGTAGTGTAACTATATTCAATAAGTAAAAAAGCTGAACAGAATACAATAAATGTTCTTCCATGAATAATATTTTTTTTAATTTCGAAAAAGGATTTATTGACTATTAATTTTTAAGACATCTAGTATATAGTAAGCGAAATAGAAAGTTCGATGTTATGCCATTTATTTTGTTTTTTGTTTTATTCTAATTGCCAGAATTAATTTCCATTTTTATAATACAGTTAAAAATGTGAAAAGGAAATTAGTTAGAAAGGCGGAGGAATTTCTAATATTCTAAATTTGAGGAAACAAAGAATCTGATGATGCCATAGGAATACCCGAAACATTACATAATTTCTTAATGATCAATATTAAGTGTATACAATAGCATCAACAGCGAAATTTATTTTCCGCTATAATTTTTTGTTCCATCAAGTTTTATTAGAAAGAACTTCCAAGTTTTATAATCTTTAAAGACCTAAATATTAATAAAACTTGGATTTTTTTCTTATCAAAACCTTTGAAATTTATGAGAACAAGAGTTAATTCTATTGGTTGATCGAAAATTTTCTCATAGGAGTTTCACAAAAATCTTCAAAGCAGATCATCATAAATAATATGTCTTTTTTTGTCGAATAATATTAATTTGTGTTGATCACATTTTATTAATATTTGTCGTACAATTATATACTTTACCGAAATTATCTTTTAAATGTGCTTAATAGTTCTTTTCAATAGAAATAAATAATAAATTCCGGAATTCCTATATGCGTTCGGATTGGTTATTCTTTAATTCAATTGATTTGAAATGAAATGCGAAACTTATCACAAGCGGAATGGCATATTAATTTTTTATACAAATAAAGTCTACAAACTTTCCAAGAAACTTTTATTCTTTAATTATTTAAGACTATTATTGAGAAATTTGTTTTTAGTCAATGCCAAATTTTTCGCTAGACCTCGTAATATTCGAAACTATATTAAAACTATAAAATTACAGTACGTGGGCAGTATCACTTTTTTTCACATGGATTAATTAAATTTTGCCACGTCAGTGGCAAAATTTAATTAATCATTCATTAACCATGTGAAAAAAAAGTGATACTGCTTTCCCCCCGTACTAGTGAAATATGAAATACTGAATGCTAAATAATTTGAGATTATGGTTTTTATTTCTAGACTTGATTAGTAATATCCTACCAAGTTCACGAAATTGTTTTGGTTTCGAAATTTACACCAATAAAAATGATATCCTAACCATATTGCCTAATTTGGCATTAAATGAAATTTCTATTCATGGAACGGACCGTTCTTACCTGGAGCTTGTGTAATGAAATAACCAATCACGTATCGACTCAACTTTTGAGCGGGCCCTAACATATATAGTCTTATAATAGCACGTGTCCTGATTAAAAGTGAATCCTAAAAAATCGTTCAATAATTTATACTAATATAATTAACTATCCCCTTATCAAAAAAAACCGTAATGACGCAGACTTCAATACAAATAGAATGGAGAGTAGTTATTAACTTCGTATCAAGAAAGGAAGTTCATAATATTCCTTTACACATGTACTATTATAATCATGACATGCATGCTTGCATAAATTATGCAGATCAGAAAATTAAAAAATATAAATACCTAAAAAATTGGATCAAGTTTGAGAAATAGCTAATTTTATTCGGTTCTGTTTAGACATTTTCATTAAAATTAAACTTAAAAGACCTTTTTGCCACTTTCTTCGTCTTAAATAAATTGTAAGTCTTTAATACCTAATTTTCCCCCTGACTGATTTTTTCATTCGAACAAGTTCTATGAACTTGAAAGTTCTCTATTATATACCACAGGTGATTTTATCACAAATAACTAAATGCGAAATGTTATATAGTTTATTGATATTGCTTATGAAAATGACCTCATTAATACGGTCATTTTCCTAGCAATACTTCCATAGATAAATAATATATTAGAACTCCGAATAAATCAGGAATTTATGTTTTTATTTTTTTTAAAATCAAATTACGTTTCTAATCAAAAAAGCATGGGTCATGTGATTATTTATGTTAATGTGACTAATAGTTTTAATAAATTAACCTAACCATAAAAAAAACTGTAAAAATGAAAACATTGTTGGTGTGTCGCAGTGTTACGCAGTTTGACAGATTATTTATAAGTCACATGACCCAAGCTACCCAAGCTTTTTTTAATGCCTCATGACTATTATGATTAATAAAAAAAAATTATTTTTGATTGTTATACTAACATGATTTACATTTCACAGTAGAATGTCCTTGAATATAAACGATGTTATAGATTTTACTTTGCCACGATTAATAGGAGATGAACCATACTCTATTTTTGGACAATGCTTAGATTGTAGAAAAGAAAAAATCAGTGACGGATGGTGTAAAGCTTGCGAAAGCAATGCCTTTAAAGAAAATTTTGGAAATTGGACAAGCGGAAATATAAGTATTGATGATTTAATTAGAAGTACTCAATTAAATGCAACTGGAAATGTAGATTATTTAGAATATATAGATTTTGAACAATTTGATCTTATAGAAAATATAAATAAAGGCGGCGCATTTTGCACAATTTATTCAGCGATTTGGATGGAAGGTTCTCGAAGGATTTGGGATGAGAAAGCTGACCAATGGATACGTAATGGACCCATAAGGGTTGCGCTAAAACGACTTAATAATTCGCAAAATATATGCGAAGATTATTTGAATCAAGTTAGCCTAGTTTTATTATTTTTTTTCTTATTTGAGTTAATATTTAGCATTAATAACATTTTTTTTAATTTTTTTAATGAATTTTTAATAAAGCTTTATAAATATCATAAATGTGATAATGGTGACTTTTTTGGAATAACTAAAGATTATACCTCGAATTATATGTTTGTTATGAAATATGACAGTAAAACTTTATATTCATATTTTGATGAAACTCAAGGAAAGATTTATTGGGAGGAAATTGTTGAAATGCTTTGGGGGATATCTGGAAGACTTGAATACATTCATGATAATGGATCAATACATGGAAATATTCATGGAGGAATTATACTTGTTGGAGATGAACAAGATCCACTTAGCAATAATTC